GCCTGCTTCTCAGTAGGCGCGGGCGTCTTCTCTACAGACACAAGGCCCGCGCCTGCTGCGGAGCAGCCTCCTTCTCGGGAGGACGCCTTGCCCCCTCCCCCTATACCCCTTGTGCGCTCCGCCGGCCTCCCTGGCGTTTTCTCGTCTTTTGTTGGACCTCCTCCTCCTCCTCCTCCTCCTCCTCCTCCCCCTCCTCTTCCTTTCCTCCTCGTCCTCCCCCTCCTCCTCTTCTTTCTCCTCCTCCTCCTCCTCATCCTCCTCTTCCTCCTCCTCCTCATCCTCCTCTTCCTCCTCCTCCGCGCCGAAGAAGCGGGTTAGGATGGACCCTGGGTGGGGGGGGGGGCTGGGGACAGATTCTTCAGGAGTGGAAAAAGCACAGACACAATGAATCGTCGATCCCCAAGAAAATATAGGAAAATATGGGAATTGGGCGGGAAGACAAAAGTTTAGAAACCATGGGAACATATAGGGAATCTTTTTCTTGTGTGTATTTATTTGTGTCCTTGGGCCCCTTGAGTTCTGAGCGGCTGTTTGCCGGACGGGAGAGCCGCCGAGGTCTCGATCGACCCTCCTCCGAGATGGCACCGCCGTGTCTTGCGGCGACAACTACTCTGGGGAGTGCGACATTCGGGTCGGGCGACAGGGGGGGATAGCAAAGGGGGGGGGTGAAAATCAGTTCACGTAGCTGATTTTCCCGGCGCCTCCCGGCGCCGGAGGCGGCGATGTATCGAGGAATGGGCCCTTCGGTGAGGCCGAAACCAGCTGCATGCAGCAAATTTCGTACCCCCCCCTTTCCCAATCCCCCCCTTTCGCCCGGCCCGAGACATACCGACGCTGGATGTCGGTCTGACTTACGTGCAGGTCGATGCTGGAGCGAACCACACGGTCTTGCTTCGCAGTGATGGCACCGTCGCAGCCATCGGGAACAATTCTTTCGGACAGTGCGAAGTTCCGGCGGCAGGTGCTGGCCTGACGCATGTGCAGGTCGCTGCGGGAGGGAACCAGACGGCCCTGCTGCGGAGCGATGGTTCGGTGGTGGCCATCGGCTGCAACCTCAACGGCCAGTGCGACATTCCTGCGCTGGAAGCCGGCATGGCCTACGCGCAAGTTTCAGTCGGAGATAACCATACGGCTTTGCTTCGAAGTGACGGTACCGCGGTTGCTTGTGGCCACAACGGCTACGGTGAGTGCGACCTCCCAGAAGCAGGTGGGGGTACGGCCTACGGATTGCCGACACTGGTATTGCAAGCATCGTTTGACGGTGTGTCGGTCAATTTCAAGACATTGTGCGGGGAGGAGCTTTGCCAGATCAAGGTCATGGCCACCGATGGTATCGCAAAGAATGCATTGAAGTTCGATCTCGCGGGGATGTTAGGACCAAAGTATTTGAATGTAGACGTTGTTTCGCCTGAAGGCAAATTATTGGGTAACCAACTCGCGGAGACTATCGAAGGTTTCTTCGGTGTCGCCGCACGTCACTGGATGTAGTGCTAGTCGTACCACGCAGAAGTCATGGCAGCGTCGAGGAGACCACAACATGCACTCTACGCAGTTGTAGTTTTTCTCGTTGATGTAATTTTCTTCTATCCTTGTCTTCTCCTTCTGGCTCGCCTGTTGCAGGTTACTCCGAGTTTCTTAATATGCGTCGGGGGGGTGTCACCCCCGCCGACAGCCCCACATCGACCCCCGTCGCGGGCAGCAACCGCGCGCCGAAGGCGCTCCGACCCCCGTCGCGGCGCGACGACCAGGCGAGGTTGACCCCCGTGGGAGGGGTACACCCCACGCGTCTTAAGACACCCAGAGCAGCCAGCGCGATGTGTGTTCTGGCTTTTGTCTCGTGCTCTCCTTCCTCTGCATCCCCCCCCCCCCACTTTCCTCGTGGCCAGCTCCCCCGGCACGATCCACAACCCAAGTGGAGCGCAGTGCGTGCGGGCGAGGAGGAGGACTGGGGCCAGAGTAGATTAGTCCGCGCGCAAAGGGGGGCAGGGGGATGGGGGCAGGCTTCTTAGAATCGGGCCGGACGAAAGGGGGGGATTGGGAAACGAGGGTGCTCTCCTTCCTCTGCATCCCCCCCCCGCTTTCCTCTTGGCCAGCGTGTTCGTTTCACCCTGGAGGCGGGGCGAGGACAGCCCTAACAGCAGGCACCTGCTCAGTGCGGCTCCCCGGTGCCAGTTCACACTCGGTGGCACCGTTCCGCATGGCGCTTGCTGCCGTGGTGAATGACGGGCCTGTTTTCCACCATCACCACCAGAAGTTGGAGAGGGAGGTGGTCCTCCTCGTCCTCCTCCTCCTCCGCCTCCACCTCCTCCTCCTCCTCTTCGTCCTCCTCCTCCTCCTCCTCCTCCTCCTCCTCCTCCTTCCCCCCTCCAACTTATGGTGGTGGTGGTGGAAGACAGGCCCATCAGTGAACGCAATAGAGATTCGGGGGCGGACAGAGCCCCCAACAGTGGCACGTCGATTAGTGGATTGTCCGTGTTCGGTTCTCGGGACGGCGCCGTGACCGTTCTTTTCCAGGCTTGCGCCCGCCAGGTTTGGGCTTCGGGTCGGTTTCACTAAACCACGTTTTACTAAAGGGAGGTCTGTCCATCCCCGAGAGATGCATTCTCCGCAATTCTGGACAACTCCACTCAATATATCTCCCCAGTCCAGGGGCCCGCACCGCTGATGCACTCCCTTCTTCCCCGATGCCTGCCGCATCCAGCATCGAGGGGATCGCCAGCGCTTTAGCGCAGAAGAAAGCGCGCGCTCGCTCGAGCTGATGTTCGCGCTGCCTGTGGCAAGCTCCCCAGGCACGATCCACAACCCAAGTGGAGCGCAGTGCGTGCGGGCGAGGAGGAGGACTGGGGCCAGAGTAGATTGGTCCGCGCGCAAAGGGGGCAGGGGGATGGGGGCAGGCTTCTTAGAATCGGGCCGGGCGAAAGGGGGGATTGGGGGAAAGGGGGGGTACGAAATTTGCTGCATGCAGCTGGTTTCGGCCTCACCGAGGGGCCCATTCCTCGATACATAGCCGCCTCCGGCGCCGGGAGGCGCCGGGAAAATCAGCTACCTAAGCTGGTTCTCACCCCCCCCCTTTGCTACCCCACCCTTTCGCCCGGCCCGATAGAAGCACCCCTGCTTCTTAGAAGGTGCTGGCCTCTTCTATGCACGAAGGTCTTGCGCTTTCTAAGGAGCAGTCTTGCTTCCGAGAAGGCGCTCCCCCCTCCCCCTTTCCCCCTCTGCGCGCCGTGAGCAAGCCCAAGATGCCTCAACGAGGCTGCAATACACCCTCCCGCCCCGAGTCCCTTCGTCATGACTTGGCGTCGCTCGGACGTGTGCATTATCTCTCCCTGCGAGGACCACCGAGGAGCACCCTCGATCACCCGGCAAAGAGAAGCGCGCAGGAAGCCGACGAAGGCACGGGGAATGGGCGTCCGAGCGAAGGCAGGATGAGTCCGCACCAGCGGCCTCTCTCTCACGTCGCGAGGCGCCCTTCCTGAGAGACCGCCGCCCCAGGTTCCCGCAGCTCGGGCGGGAGCCTGCTTACTGAGAAAGAGTTGTGGAGGGCGATCAACGGAGAGGAAGCAGGTTGCCAAAGATTTTCCAGATGTCTAAAGCATGTGTTAAACATGTTTTAAAGATGTAAAAAACATGTTTTTTTGAAGTCCATGATATTTCCCCGACACTTTCAAAACATGTTAAATTCAATGATCGGACTGTTCGGGTTTCCATTGTCGTGGCATCCACAACACCCTATGAGCTTAAGTCGGGACGAGGTATCAGATCGAGGTCAGTGCGAGGAGGATGCCCTGATGTCCTCCGTGTTTGCTGGATGTTACTGCGCATCCTGAGGGAGGGCACTCACGAGTTTTCTTCAGTTTGGGCCAGCGGAGGGCGTCATGCTGTTGAGGGATGCTTTTCTGGCCTGGGTCCGACTGTGCAAGGACCGGGACAAGGAGTTATGCACAATGAAAAAAACATAAGTGTTCTGTATGGGTGGGTTCAGCAGTACAAGCCATTTCCGCAGGCTTCCACAGTCGGCCACGCCTCCAGCGTGCATCCGCGTCACAGATGTGTCAACTATCACCGCTTTGCCGCCGTGGTCTCCACCCTCTTTTCCTCGTCGTCCTCGTTTGCTTCTGGCTTCACGCCCTCCTCTTCGTTCCCCTTTCCTCCACTGTTCCGAGCAGAATTCTGATTATTTGGAGTCTGTTTGAGATCTTGTTTTGTTAGTTGAATCCGTAACGTCCGTGACATGCCCCCACCACCGGTAATTGTATCGAGCGTGCGCGTGGTTGGTTTTGGTTCCCCTTCAGGTGTGTCGTTGTGCTCACGAGCGGGCTTTGGTGTTGACAGGCATGCTCTGGTGCTCACGAGCATCCGGTTCGCCGGGAATGCCAGGAACGCCAGAAATGCGGTGGTGTTGTTGTTGAACATTATTAATTCTAAAGAATAATTATTGTTGGGACCCCTGGTGCACGGCCCCCCCGCCGCGCCTAGGCCGCAGCTACATTTTCATCATTTTTTCGCGAAAGTTTCAGAAAAGTGGATGGGGTCCAGATCCGGTTGTTTTGTTGTAATCCGTTTTCCCTTGCAAAAAACACTATAAAATGACATTTCTTGTTCTAATATAATCAAATTTCAAGAATCCCTTGCAAAAAATAAGGTAAAGTGGACATTCGCGCGCGCAAGACGAAATCCTTCCAAAAGCTTAGTGTTCGGAGCGATTTTAACATAAAAACATCAAAAAACCAATGGTTTTTCAACAAAAAAATGTCAAAATCTCATCCCGCGCGCTCTTGCGGATTCGTAGGAAAACCAACACTTTTTAAACATTTCTGTCAAACGGGCTTTTGCGAGCAACTTTTTCGAACTTCTGCGACAACGGTTGCGCACCTGCCAGGGCCATCATCCCTGTCAAATAATACCATGCGGGACACATTCGTTTTTTCTTCGCGCGCGCACGCCGTCGTCGTCGGCCGCGGGGCCCTGAATAGTAGCCACGGTCGTCCGCATGCCACGAAGTGAAGTGTCCGAACGTCATAGGGCGGGAAGCTGGGTGTGGGTGGTGGCGAAGAGTCGTTTGGAAATTTGGTAGAGCTTGAACCGGCCCCCCCACAAAGTGGGGGTATTGCCCGCCTCCTATGAAAACCCTGGCACTGGTGAGAACGGAGTGTCCCCACGTGCTAGTAATTGTTGTTGTTGTTGTTGTTGTTGTTGTTGTTGTTGTTGTTGAACTCTCTCTTGAAGAATAATTATTGTTGATCCCCCCCACCGGTGCACATTGATTTTTTTCGATTGAAGTGCCACCCCCGGGGCTCGCACTTTGTTTTTTCTCAAGGAAAGTCTTCCTGCTCAAACTGTGCCCCTGCCCCCCGGGCTACAACAACAACGGCTCCCGCCTGAGACTTCTTCGATTTTTACTCAGGACCCCCGCTCCCGCCTGAGACTTCCGCGCAATTTGCTCAGGAAAGGCGCTCCCGTCTGAGACTTCCTCGCAATGTAATCAAGACCCCCGCTCCCGCCTGAGACTTCGTGCAATTTACATGGGAACGGCGCTCCCGCCTAAGACTTTTTCGAATTTTACTCAGGACCCCCGCTCCTGCTTAACATGTCCGCGCAATTGACTCAGGAACGGCGCTCCCGTCTGAGACTTCCTCGCAATTTAGTGAGGACCCCCGCTCCCGCCTGAGACTTCCGTGCAATTTGCTCAGGAACGGCGCTCCCGCTTGAGACTTCCTCGCAACTTAGTCAGGGCCCCCGCTTCCGCCTGAGATTTCCTCACAATGTACTCAGGACTGCGCTCTCGCGTGCGACGTCCTCACAAATTATTCTGGAATTGCGTTTCGGCGCTCAGGAACCACGCGCGCGCCAAGGACGCCTTCACAACGTGGTATCTTCCCTCTTCCTTCGTCCTTCCCCCTCCCCTTCCTCCCACTCTCCCTCGTTCTTCCCCTCCTCCTCTTGCAGGGCCCGCGCCAATTCCAATGGCGGGCAGAGATATGTACGCCCCCGAAGGATTGTCCGCCCGTTCCGGTGTGCCCGTACGTCTAAGCCCGCCGGCCCCAGCAAAGAGAAATAATCCCCCCGAAAGGGGTGTGATCGAAGACGAAAAGGGCGGGCATCGAGGGTGTAGGGTATACGTGTTGAATGACTCGCGGGCAAGTAAGAGCGCACAGCCACGAGCGGGCTTTGGTGTTGACAGGCATGCTCTGGTGCTCACGAGCATCCGGTTCGCCGGGAATGCCAGGAACGCCAGAAATGCGGTGGTGTTGAACATTATTTCTTCTTAAGAATAATTATTGTTGGGACCCCTGGTGCGCGACCCCCCCGCCGCGCCTAGGCCGCAGCCACATTTTCATCATTTTCGTGAGGAAGTCTCATGCAAAACGATTGGTACCGGATCCGGTTTTTTGTTGACGCTCGTTTTCCCTTGCAAAAAACAATAGAAAATGAAAATTCTTGTTCTTAGTTGATCAAATTGCAAGAATCCCTTGCAAAAAATAAGGTAAAGTGGACATTCGTGCGCGCAAGACGAAATCCTTCCAAAACCTTAGGTTTCGTAACGATTTTAACATAAAAACATCAAAAACCCAATGGTTTTTTAAGAAAAAATTGTCAAAATGTCCTTCCGCGCGCGCTGTCCGAATCCTACAAAACCAATGGTTTTTCAACATTTATGTTACATGAGCTCGCGCGAGCTACTTTTTCTTGTTCTAACATAATCAAATTTCAATAATCCCTTGCAAAAAATAAGGTAAAGTGGACATTCGCGCGCGCAAGACGAAATCCTTCCAGAACCTTAGGTTTCGTAACGATTTCAACATAAAAACATCAAAAAGCCAATGGTTTTTCAAAAAAAAATGTCCAAATTTCATCCCGCGCGCGCTGTCCGACTCCCACAAAACCAATGGTTTTTCAACATTTATGTTACATAAGCTCGCGCGAGCTACTTTTTCTTGTTCTTACATAATCAAATTTCAACATCCCTTGCAAAAAAAAAGTAAAGTGGACATTCGCGCGCGCAAGACCAACAAAAAACACGACGATCTCAGGAACTTGCCCCAAAAATGTGGCCAACTCCGCTCTCTCTGTCTCTCTCTCTGTCTGCTCTCTGTCTCTCTCTGTCTGTCTGTCTGTGTCATGTATTGTATGTCACAATTGCAGGATGCTGGGCACACGCGCGCCCCGAATAAGTGACCAAGTTCTGTGGGTGTGTACCCCACGCCAGTGTAGTAGCCACGGTCGTCCGCACGCCACGAAGTGAAGTGTCCCAACGTCATAGGGCGGGAAGCTGGGTTTGGGTGGTCGCGAAGAGTCGTTTGGATATTTGGTAGAGCTTGAACTGCCCCCCCACGAAGTGGGGGTATTGTCTCGCGTCGCATGAAAACCCTGGCACTGGTGAGAACACTGAGCGTTCGGGTAAAATGATTGTTGTTGTTGTTGTTGTTGTTGTTGAACATTATTCCTTCTAAAGAATTATTATTGTTGGGACCCCTGGTGCGCGACCTCTGCGCCGCGCCT